CCACCCATCTACTGCTCCGACAAATTTTCATCCGGCAACACTGTGCGTGTTACGTGTGAAACTGTGAAACGAAAACGTAGGAAGATGGCGTCCGTCAGTTGACCACTGCCGAGTGCCGATCAAACTGTGATTCAGGTCCAAGGACATTCTGAACTTTTCGGGTTATTAGACTGTAAAAGCAGTGAATAAGTGAAATCTTTGCGGATATCATCTATCAACTGGTGAACTTCGATCTCGAGTTCCATCGAGATGTTTATTCGAAGGCAAGTATGGCTATCGACGCTATCGTTTTATTTTCATTCGCATGAAGATGCTTGAGTAAGAACATCAAATCTGTAGTTGAAAACATTATATAGATACCTTTCTAAATAATTTGATCTCATGCAAAGCTCTACCTAATCCTATTTCCATCATCTACCAAAGTTTATATTTTTGTATATAGTTAAAACATAATATAATTCGTGCAAGGTTCATAGAGGTTATATAGGTACCTACCTAAGAATCAGTTTATGTATGGAATAAGTTCTCAATGAAATACAAATAATGAAGTATTCCGCTATACTGACTACTACACGTTGAAAGTGGGTGTGTGTTTATGGTTTATGGTATTCACAGAAGATGTTATTGAATATTATTATTATTTACAGATCCAGTGAAGAAGACAACAGAATAAGGCTGCCAATCAGAAAAAGACATCATCGCGCCTGCGTACCTGGATGAATCACGCGACGTTTTCAGTGGTGCAGCTGCTGATATATGATAGTGATGAGTGAAATTGAAACAACTACCTGAATCTCTGTTCATATTATTGTTTGCGAATAAATGTCAACTAATATTCAAGTATTTCACTCTTCAGATGGGTCAGAAAATCAATAATCAATATTGTCTGAATGTCCTCAATACGTCCATTTTTCATCCCAAAAAGGTCCTAGTCTGGACCTAAACTGGACGTCCCCAAAACATCCTGATTATTAACAATGGACGTCCTCAAAACGTCCATAAGACGCCCGTCGTCCGGAAATGGACGTCCCCAAAACGTCCTGAATGTCCAGAGTGGACGTTTTCAAAACGTCCATAAGACGTACTTGTGCTGATTGGGAATTGTTTTATTAGGATCAAAAGTGACACTTTGTTTGACAAGCGAATTATGCATTTACGAGGCGGAGCGTTTAGCGAAGCCGAGCGAAAGCAAAATTTGCGAGTCGAACAAAGTCACTTTTGATCCGAATGAAACATGCTATTTTTTCTGCAACTGAAACAATTAACTCAAATAAACATGTGAAGTAACCACCAATGCCGCGCCATATGTATGCAATGCAACAAATAATATTGACAAATGATCCATGTGGTAAGAATATTCTACCCTGCATTAACAGAGCAGGTTAGGTTTTCGAGGATGTTCGAACTGTAGTTTCAATAAAAATACAACCACAGAGTGACATATCTGTGTATGAACCAGGTGCTCTAATGGCAAATACCGCGCCAGTGCCAGCTATAGGAACAAGACGTGGAAAATGTTAGGTTAGTGAGCATATCAACAATGATTGTTCTAAAAAAAAATTGTTCTAAAATTGTTCTATCCGTCATTCGGTTGCCCCCTTACGAGCAACCCTCAAAAGTCTTCGATAGTCTTGTGCGAGCAAGGAATGACGGGGGCCTTACCTTTTAACGTGTGATCCCAAACACTTTCTTGGGCCATCAGAAAAATTTCTGCAGTCGACGGGACTCGAACCCACGACCGGCAAGCAAATGCGGATTAGACTATGGACACTCTGTCCGCACGGCTACCTGGCCACTTGATGATAATAGTGATTATTTATTCCTCTCCATACTACACTGTGTTTGACTTGATAATCAAATGAAACTAAACAAAATATCGTTGTTTGAGACAAAAAACTATTGCTTGCCGTGATTATTCAAAAACAAGTTATCCATCCCGAGAATAACGAATGAAATACAGATCAAGCACGCGTATTAGAATCTTGCAGGCTCCCCTGATCAAACAAAAATACTTAGCTGAGATGTTTATGGTTCCAATACTGAACTATAATAAGGTGTATTTATATCTCCAGCATGGGTATGAAATGCCAAATCTGCTGAAATCGGAAACAAATCAGGTATGCGTCTCAACCCAAATAACCAACCGTCACAATGTTGTTTATTCTTGATGACGTCCAGTACATCCTTTCTAGTTCCTAGGAGCTAAAGTTCAACTTTAGCTCCTAGGAACTAAAATTCAACTTTAGCTCCTAGGAAATAAATGTTGCCTAGCAACATACCTATTTTTGTGTCAGTAATAGAAACGTCAATTTAAGAGTTAATTTTGGTATCAAAATGGACGACTTTTTTGTGTCGGTTGCAGAAAAAGGGACATTTTTCCCTTTCATTTGCTTTTTGTTTCAACTCGCACATGACGTGGAAGTATGTCCGGAATAAAAGGGGCAAATAAATCGTTGTGCCGTGGATTTGGCTCAGACTGAGGGGTGGCATAGGTAGGATTTTGAAATCTACCATCATTCAATTGGTATCGGATGGCATAATTCTCATCTAGTTAACAAATCGCGAAATCGAGTGCAGATTTCCGCACAGGCAAGTGCAATTTTCATTCCCAGGATAGTGATTGGCACAGGAGCAGTTCGATGAACTCCAATGTTTTTACTTTCGTTTGGACATATATCATTTTAAATAAATACGAAAAGCTCAAAGTCTATTTCGACACAGGGTGTCCCAATTCTCCATCAGGTAGAGGTTGAATTATTTCCAGCCAAAGACGAAGGTTAATTTTTGTAATATTCACATTCATTTCAAATGATTACGAATATATTCGCGTTCAAAATTTGCCATGCTTATTGAGTGTGGGAGAGCAAGAAGTTTAGATATTGTGTTTTCACACCCATTGATGAGCATACGGAAACTTTTTTGAATGTAAATACCTTCGTGACAGTTTGAAATATTCCTATCGATATCGTTGAATTCGTTATCATATACAGGGTGTATCTAAAAATACCGAAAAAATTCAAGGGGTGATTCCTTGTGATATTTTAGGAAATAAAGTTCATATAAACATGTGTCCTAACTTGCTTCGTTTTCGAGATACAGGTTATTAATATTTCCATGAAAAATATTTTTTCTATCCATTTCTCAATTGTCTTTTCATGAATTTCAATAAAACGTTGTGGTTTTGGTAATAGTAATATGGAGCTTCTTTTAGTGCAATTAGATTCGAAATAATATTTCCAGTGCCGTCACAGTGGTTAAAAGGACCCCGCACTTTCCTTATGGAAAATGGCTTCCGGTTAAATTCCCTGAATTTTTGGTACGATGTAGATTTTGACTTCCTAAGCAAAAGTGTCCATGGGCACAAAGATATCGGCTGACATACGAAGTATAAAAAAGCACTTTGATGAGTTGTTATTATATACACCTTGCGCACTTGTTAGGAAAATAACTATTTCTCATCCTTTCTGAGGTGAAAAACACATCACACCATCTGTTTTCTCGAAACGATTTTCAAATTTTTGGAAGTGTCACGTTCATTACTGAAATATATGGATATTCTCATAAGTGAATGCATAATTTGATGCCCTAAATTTTCATTGGCTATGTGTTCTTGTCATGTCCAAGAGCCGACTGCAAATTTCGACCGTCATCTGATAAAGAAATGATTTATATATGTCCCAAAGGAATGTAAAAACAATATAGTTTAGCAAACGGCACCTGTGCCAACCACTATCCTGAGCAAAATGAAGGAGGAATTGCACTTTCCTGTGCGGAAATTTGCACTGGATTCCTCGATTTGATATCGAGATAAAAATTATGCCATCTGATATCAATTGAATGTGCCACCCCTCAGTCTGAGCCAAATCTGCCACGACACAGCGATATATTTGCTGCTATTATTCCGGACAAACTTCCGTCATGTTCCAAGTACGTACAAAAAGCAAATAAAAGATGACAATGTCCGCTTTGCGAATATCCGAACGTGCCGCGATTCGAACTGATCTAAGTTAGTGACAGAGAGAATATTTCGCTCCTTTCTAAAGATAATATCCGATGGGCCAGTGTGAAACTCAACATGTGGATTGAAATACTTGTAGTGCGAGCACCACATATGAGCACACATGAGTTTTTCACTGGTCCATCGGATATTATCTTCCGAATGTGGCGAAATATTCTCGGAAATATTGAAGCTCTCTGCCATTAACTTAGATTAGTTTGAATCGCGGCACGTTTGGATATTCGCAGAAGGAACTTTTTTTCATTCACTTTTTGTTTCAACTCGTTATCACATGACGAAATTATGTCTGGTATAACAGCATCAGCAAATGAATTGTTGTGCCGTGGAGTCAGCTCATACTGAAGTGCAATTATTCAATCATTTTGCTCAGGATACTGATTGGCACAGGTACCGTTTGGTCAACCACGATAATGTTTCCACATTCCTTTGGGACATAAATCATTCCGTTATTAGATGACGCTCGAAATTTGCAGCCAGTTCCCTGGCTAAAACTATTTGAGCATATCAAACTATTTGAGCTATCAAACTAAAACTATTTGAGCATATCAAGTTCGAAAATATAATATATTGCAGGCGAAAGAAGTAGGAAGCTAAATAGTACCGACGCCATAAGCAGTAACTGAAGTGACTGTCATTATTATCACGGATGTTAATGATGAAAAACCGAAATTCAGAAACAGTTTCTATGAATGTGAAATAGCAGTCCCCATCAATACGCCACTGACTTTTTTAGGATATCACAGGAGAATGATCCAATGCTTTCAGTTCTCATAGGAAATGATAATTTGTCATGACACCTATTCATGAACGACGATTTTCGCTGAATGAACAGTCATGTATAACCCGTCAGATAGTCTAGATATTTAGCGGTCATTGACCAGGTGAAGATGAACTTAAAACTACACTGAAATGCACTTTTCACAAGAATGTCAAGACTAGAGTCAAGAGTCAAGACTAACCTCAAAGAATGTCCAGGTTATGTTGTTTGTTTACTTTTGTCACTGAAAATAATAAATTGTGAACTGAGATTTGATTTGTGAACCATTTGTGAATGAATTGGATAATCGAAATTTTCACAGTAAGAAATTTGAAAGAATATGCCCACTGTAATTTTATTAGACGTTTCATTATCAATGACGAGTCCGGTCCAACTCAAAGATGGGACTGAAACAACTAGAAAACATTTAGCTGAAATAGGAATAAATGCATTTTTAGACCATCTCAGTGTTCAGTCGAAATTAGAGTTCATCTCCTTGGTGAGTACCTACTAGTTGAATTTGGTCACAACATTCCCAGTGCATGAGGGGAGAATTCATATTCAATAACAATAAATTGGAAATAAATTTATTGAAACCTATCTGGTATCAATTCCTTTATTTTTTTTACCAGAAAATCAGTTATTTACTCATTACTTAGATTATGTTAGGTAAATATTCTGATAATATTCACATATCCAATCAATAGGGAATAAGTAATTTGAAAATATTTCAGAAAAAATGTATTAAATAATTGTCATTGTCTAGTTAGACACACAAATTCAATCTACTTGCATCATATGAGGTATTCTGGGATCTTTCAATCTATGTTCCTATGTTAAGGAAAATATATCATCCCATTGCAAATCCTGATTGCATAGGAAGTATCAGTTTATTAAGTATAGAATGGGGGTACCAATATGAGGTATCTGGAATATTACTTAGTAACTTTCTTGTCCAATCTTATGGCTTCTCCAGGATGATTTTCTTCAATTCCAAAGCTAATCTACAGAGTGGTAAACCAATTACATTGTTGCAATCACCTTCAATCCTTGTAACAAATGTACTTGCAATTCCCTGAATGCCATAGCCCCCTGCTTTGCCCATTGGTTCACCAGTTTCAACATAAGCTAAAATTTCTTCATCATCCAATTTTTGCATATAAACAGTGGTAACCTCTGTGAATTTGTGTATTTGATCTTTGTATTTAATAGCTACTCCTGTGTATACTGAGTTTGGCAACCCAGATTGTGTTAATTCTTGGACTATCTTGAATGCATCATCTTTTGACTTTGGCTTTCCATACATTTTTCCATTGTAAGTTACCATTGTATCTACTCCTATTATAATATCAGGTTTTCTTGTATTGTTTTTCAACTGATGATAAACATCAAGCAATTTTCCAATTGCTGTCTTTTCAACAAAATCTGAAAATGTGTGTTCCTCAGGTTTCAAATTCTCCTCAAACTTTGATGGAACTATTTCAAATTTCAGTTTTGTACTACTTAGTAACAAAGCACGTTGTTTAGAAGTACTTGCCAAAATAATTCTCATTTCATTCAACTGACTCAAGAGTGGTTCTAACATTTTTGCACTTTGGCCGAATAATTCTGTACCTAAAACCTATATACAAGAAGCACCAAACAGATTTATGCAAATCCTTTTGTCACATGAACAAAATTGGAAGTCAGTATTCCTCCCTTTTTCCTTTCTCATCATTCTGATATTTTTAAAACAATGATATTATGCATACATTCAGAACTGATTTGAATCTTAAGTTCTTCATAAATCACACGTTTTTCGGACTAACTAGTATATCCTCCCAATTCCCAATGCCCTTCGATCTTCTCAATACTAGAATTCAAATAATGATTTCTTGTTTCATTCTTGCTTTGCTGCACTTTGATTGCTTCCTTTACTTTGATTGTTTCCTTCACCTTATTTAATTTAATTAATTTATTTCCCCTACTAATCCTACTACTATTAGCAATTAGTATAAACAACTCAATAATAATTGTTATATAATTTTTTCATTTCTCAGTTCATATGCTCATATGAGGTTTGTTAGGTTAGGTTTGTTATAATAATTTTTATGGTTTGTTCACTTTGTTCATTTTATGATCATTCATCCAAAAAATAAACAGTCCGAACATATCCAAACTACGGACCGCGGGTATTCCGAGCATGAATTCAATCTGACCCAAAATGAGGCATAGCCAGGCTTTTAGACCAATCTGGTCGATTTTGGCCTTGGCGGTAAATTCGAATCGCGGATCTTGGCGATAAATTTGAATTACGTCACATACATCGAATAATGATCAATGGATAATTATTTCCCAAGTGTCTGATATTGGTCTGATAATAATGACTAGCAATTGATAAATCATGACATGTCATAGGTACTGGAAATTAATATTTCGGACAAATTGCCGTTACTAATAGTATATTACACACCGAGATAGAAAGAAATTCATTCCCGTCGAGGTTAGCTATGATCTCGAAACAGGAATGGAACTTCCTACCGAGGTTTGTATGTAATGGGGCGTGTTTTTCATTCCATCGAAGAAAGTGCGCACTGATAGATACGGTTTTTTGTCGTGACGTCACCAATTGTTTTGTTGGAATTTATGCTGGAAGGATTGAACAATGGTTTATACAACACATTGATGGAAACACGGATTTTGTTGTGTGTCAGTCATCATGTATCTTGAGAATCAGAAAAGGCTAATTCGACTTTATTGATTAACACTGACTCTTTCTTCTAAAATCTCTCAAGAATCTCAAAAATCCTCAATATCAATTGTTTTCTATCAAATCAAAACAAAAAACAACACTAAAATGTGTCAACTGTCATGTCAATCTCCTCCAAACTGCTGGATTCTCGAAATGCGATTTAAAAGTGCGCATTTTTTTACAACAGTTTGATGGATGTCCATCAACATTCCAACGGAATTTTGCAACAGTTTTATGGTTTCTTCGATTCATGCGCATGATAAAATGTTGGAATGAAAAACGCACCCATGTTGTCATTACTAACGTCATTGAAGGTTGGGAAGTGTCACATTACACACCTCTACTTCCCGCCCTCACTTTCCGCTCCTCACTACTTCCCGCCGTCACTTCCCGCCCTCACTCCCAGTTATAATTCAGGTATGTTCAGAACGACACATAGATTTATTAATTTTGATCGAAATATGATGGTTGTAAATAATAGTATATTACACACCGAGGTGGGAAGTGATTCATTCCTGGCGTGAGATTAGTTAGTTAACCGAGACGCAAAGCGTCGAGGTTAGCTATAATCTCGAGACTACTTAAATCCTACCTACTTAAATCGTAAAGCATCAGAGTACTTATAGTTGAATGGTTAAAATAATAAGGCACTTACTTTTCTTCACATTTCACAAGGCATATATCAGGATCTGATGCTCTGGTCTTGTGACTTCCTCTGTACCATTTGTGTGTACTGCTTTCAGAGTTACAGATATGCTTGAAGGGTAATTAGTATTCCTTGTTCTGTTGTCAACTGATGGAATATACACACTAATAAATCATGTCGAACCTCTGTTCAAATTATACTCTTAATCCTGAACATTTTTCAGTAGAACGAATTGAAGTATGAGTATTTCGATTTGTCTTCATATTCACGCAGCCACTTTCCAATCTCTGCCTCATTCCTAGCGAATATTGGAAAATATTTGAATATTATTGTTAGATTAATGTTGATAGATTTCTTTGATTTTGGTTTTCCAAAGAAGAAGTATAAGTTCTATAATTATAAATCGATATAAACATGCACATCTGATATCAGATATTATAAGATGGTGCGTATATATGGTATATACCCATTCTAGGGTCCCTTGATGGAAATCAGAGGAAGCTTTCGTGACTGTTCTATAGGTTATATCACATTTTATATACATAAGTATTCATCCCACAGACCACCCACCTGTATTCAACATCTTCATCAAATCAGTCGACCATCATCTATGACATTTTTTGTCAAATCATTTCATTTTATTTATACACATCATATGTTTTTTTGCGCTGATTTTATATAGTATTTCATGTTTGTAAGTATACCAATTTTCATTGATGTACATTTATTCGAAAAAGTACTAGGATTGGGATTAAAGTACTGAGCCTCAATTTTCTTCAAATTTGCCACCCTCGAGGGGCTTGCATAGTTTTCTTTCACAAATTCAAGCTGCCAAAAACAAATATGAGTGGAATAATTTCACCATATGAAAATATCGAAATGAAAAAAGAAGCTGGAACAATTTATTTCCATCCACTTGGCGAACATTTAGAACCCAATGTACTCAAAACCCATCATAGACAATCTCTACTCTGAAACCCATTCAGTACTAAATTCCATCAAAATGTACTTTGGCAACATTGGCAATAACGGACAGTCTAGATATTTAGCCGTCATTGACTTTGGTACTGAAATTTTTCGAATAGTACTAAATCTAGGATTAAAGTACTGAGTGGAATCCAGTACGAATTCGAACGCACCCCAGTATGACCAACAAAACGCAATGACAATCGACAAGATAACTCAAAAATGTTCCAAAGTTCCAAGAATGTTCCTTTTAAATTTGGCACTTTGACGTACGCCATGCGGGAAATTCTGTTTTATTACTTTTATTTTACATATTCTTAAAAAGTGGCGTTGAAGAGCTTTGCTGGTTTGTTGCAGTATTATTAACATTAACCAGATAAATCGTTTTTCTCTCGTTTGTCCAAGTGCAACGTATGTGCAATCTTTCCGAACCGGATCTCCAATAATCCAACAACAAAGGTTATGAACTTGTAGGTTTTGAAGAAGCAGAGCCATGAAAACCAACATTTGCAAAACTGTAGCGGTTAGGTACAGATTCGTTTTCGAAAATATTGGCTGTGGGGAGCCTGTGCTCCAATTTTTGCAACATCCTCTAATCAAATTAAAAGTAGAGCCTCCAAAAGAAAATGATGTCAAGGAAGAAGAACTGAAACCTGAAAATGTTGAGTATGAGGATGATGTAGAATACCTCCGAAGCCTTGATCCTAAAGAATGGAAAAGCCAAGATCATTACAAAGTCTTAGGAATTCCTGATCTCCGTTTCAAAGCAACAGAAGAAATTATCAAAACAGCTTATAGAAAAAAGGTTTTAAAACACCATCCTGACAAACGAAAAGCTTTGGGGGAAGAAATCAAATCTGATGATGACTATTTCACTTGTATTACCATGGCATATGAAACTCTAGGAAATATTACAAGACGTAGAGCTTATGATTCAGTTGACCCACAATTTGACAACAATATACCTACTACAAGTGATATAAAAAAGGATTTTTACAGTACATTTGGATATTATTTTGACTTGAATTCACGTTGGTCAGAGAAGTTGAGAGTACCTGTTTTGGGTAATGCAGACTCTAGTAGAGAAAGTGTGGAACACTTCTATTCCTTCTGGTATGATTTCAAATCATGGCGTGAATATTCATATGAGGATGAG